TATATATATCTAATTTACTTACATTTCTAATGCCTTTTTTTAATGGTTCAACTATTTTAAGATTTTTGAATGGTTTATGACGTGTGATAGAACTAAGAATAGGTACGACTATGTTTGCTTTTTGTAATTTCCATTCATTAATCATGAAATGATGTAGAACATGTAAATCAATATTATCATCGATGTAAAGAAATGGTCGACCCTAGAAAAATCAAATTAAACATAACACTAAAACATTTTTTAAAAAGTTCAAAAAGATAATATTCGCTTTAATATAAATCAATTAATCATACTTACCTCACTAGAATAGCTACTAAGATAATCTTCAAATTTAAATATTCCCCAACAAGCTCCATATTGTTGTTGAATAAGATAATGAAAATCCTCTGGTTCTAATGTTGATAGCGTACGAAAAAGTACTGCAGGTGGTGATAACTTTTTCTTAATACTATCATTTTCATCAACCAAAGCGTCTTGCGTCATTGATGTAAGCACCTAGCGAAAAAAAAATATGTATGTTTATCGCGATGGTACCAAATAAAATGTAAATATAATGGGTGCATTCCTGTAATCAGTTACTTTGGTGAATAAATTTAGAGATTGTTAACCTACGATGTCAATAAATACTGATTGAAATGAATAACTATTTTCTTTTTCTTTTCGTTCTGGGTGTAGCTGTGCAAGTCATATAAGAGAAAATCTGACTAATTTGGCAGAAATAGTCGTAGAAGTGAATCACGAAACCTTTGACTGATTTACAAACAGACTCATGTAGTCTTTTTGAAAGAATTGATATATCAGAAGAGATCAATTTTGAACTTTCAGACATTAACTTAAACAGAAGTAACATGATATCGATTGATTGCAACCCATAGAAAAAAAACTGTTAGCGCAATCCCTACGAGATTAAACTGTGAAACACGATATATCTATTGTTACTAATTTCCTAAAAACTGATCTTTTTTACGTATACTGGGCATATTTCATCAGCATTGCTAAATTTACAGAGTAGAACTTCATAAAGAAAATACTCCATGAATATTCCAATTAGATGTTACTTATATATAACATCTGATAGTCTCTTGCAGGCGACTATCAGCCGCTGTGACGATCCATGAACACTGTCTGTCACGGTCTATGATGGGTCTGGAGCTTGTCTGTCACGGTGTGTAATAGTTAATTAGTTAATTAAATACTAATTAATTAATTAAGATATCTTTCATGGTCTGTGATGGGTCTGGGCCGTGTCTGTCACGGTCCGTAGTGGAGAGGGGGTGTGGATGTAATGGCTGGGCCATTTCTCCCTCTCAAAGAGAAACTGTTCCACTTCAACGAGAAATGCTTAAACCACATAAGGTCAGAAGGAAACGCTTTTTATACGAACCCCATAACTTCATTCGACCACATCACTGCAATCGTTACTCTTCAACAAGAAATCCTTGATCCATATTCCCATACGCAAGCAGAAATCGAAGAGTGTTAGAGAGAAATGGATAATTTTTTTCTCATCTTAACGGAAGTTTCTAGTAGAATTAGATTTTTTCTATTAGAAATGGTTATTTTTCAAAAAGAAATCCTTCATCAATGTCCCCATACACAAGCGGAAATCGAAAAGTGTTTGAGAGAAATAGATAATTGAGGATGTGGGTGTGTGTGTCGGTGTGAATGTGGGAGTGGAGTGAGGTGGGAGTGGCTGTGAGGAAGATAATAATACCCACATCCACACCCATACACCTACCCTCACCCGACACCCACACCCTTGCTATGTTAGCCACCTAAAAATGAGATTCGTGTTGTGTACCACTTTAATTCTCAGTAAAGTCTAGGCATTTCAAAGATCGATGTGAAGCTACCACGACGACCAATCAGAACTCGAGCATAATTTACCATTCATAGTCCATAAAATACCACACATAACTTCCTTAGCAACCAAATCTTTTTCCTACTACCTAATAAAAAATAAGCATCTTTTAAAAATCAATCACCAAAACTTTATAAAGCACACAAAAAAATCATCAATTCAAAACTGAGATAGAGTCCCCTACCCATACTTCATATTCACCAACGAGACACATGTTCAACTATTCAATCAGTCACAAAAAAAACAAAAAAATTAACGAAAAACGAAAAATTGACGATACCGTCCATTGCCTGGACATAAGTTATACATCATCTTGTAGAGAATTTAATTCTGCATCGATTGATGTATACCTTAAATTAAGATTCCATTTCCATATAGGCGATATATGGTCAATTATTAGTTGGGTCACAGAAAAAAAGCAAAATCTGGACGATACGATCCACTGCTGGAACATAAGTTATACATAATCTGGTAGAGAATTTAATTCTCCACAGATTGATGTATAACTGAAATGAGGATTACATTTCCATAGAGGTGATATATGCTGAATTATTAGTTGGGTCATAGAAAAAAAGCAAACAATTTTGAAGAAAAGTAAATTGCTTATGCGACGATCCATTGTCCGGAGATAACGTACAGACGTAGTGAGATTTTATAAAACTCTGGATCCAATCATGTAGTCCTCTTTTTACTATCTCATGTAGATTCCGTTGGGAATCGTAAATTCTTAGGTAAGTTACAGAATGAAGTAAAAATTGTGCTAGAAAATGTGAAAAATGATTTGGTTTTGCTGGATTGACATGGCTGAAATCATCCAGGGATGTTAGGGAATCGCAATTTGAAAGGAATGGTATGTGGTTTGGGTGATTTGGTGTTGCTGTAAAGGCCACAGTTTCGAAACGAATTTATTACATATTGGATTTTGTTAATATTGTATTTTAGGTTCAACTAGTCTGGTAGGTATTTCCGTTGCGTAAAACTCTGTTGCGGACAGATGACATGAAAATGAAGTGTTATATGAGATGGGAACGAATTTGGGTATGTACTTAGTTTGATTCGTGTTGGATGTTTGGCAATCTGTATGTAATTTTTGGGTGTGGGGGGAAATATTTCTGAAATTGTGGACTCTTATGAGAGTAGCATGCATTTTCACTACGTCTATGGTTTTGTGCGAGCTAGTGAATTCGGACTTTTCTTGAATGATGCAGCCTTTGTGGGAGCTGCAAACTGCTCGCCTATGATTGTTTTTAGGGTTTTTATTTCAGTATTTACATGATTGTTTGTTGTGAGAATTTAATACATGCGTTTTACTCAAGGATCCTTCCTCATGTTTGAATGTCTAGGAGCAGGCTATGGGTTGTTTGGATAGGTTAGAAATGTGTTTACTTTGGGTGATATACAGTTATGTTTTTCACCTTTTATTTTTTCCATCCTCTGATCTATGTTTCGGTGTTGTGTTCGGTTCACTTGAAATCAGTGGTTCCTTTTTTTCAAAATTTTTTGTTTTTTTTTGTGACTCAACTAATAATTGACTATATATCACCTATATGGAAATGGAATCTTAATTTAAGGTATACATCAATCGATGGAGAATTAAATTCTTCACAAAATGATGTATAACTTATGTCCGAGCAACGGACCGTATCGTTCAGATTTTGCATTTTTTTTGAAATTTTTTTTGCTTTTTTGGTCGTGCTAACTCTTTGCGTTTTGCTGGCTTCTCACTGATTTCTGTTGGGAAGGGTCGCCATTTCGAAATTTTCGGCCTTCAATCTGATGCTTTTGGTTTTTCGATTTTCTCATTGGTAGTTTTTTCGACCGATAAACTTTTTTCTCTAGTCGTGGTAATTGGTCGTGTTGTGATAGCTTCAAAGCAATATTTCAAAGGAGATTCTGTTCAGCACGACGTGTGATTGGACTATTTTACGTGGAAGAGCTGTGGCAATCAAGATTATCAATCGCATATGGTGATTATCTACAATCGAACTTTCTTGAAATGGATTTCTGGCAATTGAAATGCTCCATTTCTATATCCCGTCATGTTTTCTCGTTAGTACTTACTCTGAACTTTCAGCTTGAATTTGACCACTAGTCTAATAATGTTAGAAATTAAATGTACTTTCGTATTGAGTAATGTTGGAGTGTGCGAGTTTGTTTTCTGTGTTTGTAATCAGTTTTGCTTCGTATTCGTCGTTAATGAGATTGCTTGGCTTATTTCCCATGTAAGCATGTTTATGTGAATCAGCGAAGCATCACATTTTCGTCAGGTAGGTAGTGTTTTTTCATCAGTATGCTCATCGTCGCATCTATATCGTTCTTTCAATATTCTCCATTGTTTTTCGCTTTCCTTTACATGTGCTGTCGTTACGATGAAAAAATACACACTAATATTTACATACGCGAGCGCGTTAAAATTAAATGAGGAAAGGACATGTTGCAAAAAGCTCATTTTTTTGTCCGTGATTGTTTTCGCTTTTATCTATCTGATAGGTATGCAGGAGCCACTAGAAGTGTTTCCTACGACCGAGTTTTGGAAAATTTCAAAGTGAGGCATTCCGCCTGGGGTCTCCCAAGGATTCGAAAAAAAATCTTTCCTCAAATAGCTTCAGCAGCACATAATTTATATGCACTTTTGCGCAGGAGCGGCGAAACGTTTTGAAATTAGGTGAGGCTCATATTAAATCGAATTTTTTATGGTGAGACAGCTGTTCATGTATAAGAATACGCTTAGTTCAAAGATTGTGAGGTCATTAACCATTTAAGACTTGGATTTCATACTGCTAAAAGAAGAAGTCCTTTACTTGCTACTATGCTCTATAAATTGAACTCGTGAATCAGTAGTAAAGAAGGGTTTGAGCAAAAGTTGAGATTTGTTTTACTGAAATAGTGAAAATTAGGGGTGGCATATTACTATTACTCAGTAATTGGTAATAGTAATTATTACTTTATTATTTATTACCAGTAATAATGTAATAAAACCTTGAAAGTAATAAAAGTAATTAGTAATAATAAGTAATAACTATTACTGTAATAAAGTAATAATAAAACAATAAATGTAATATAACATAAATAGGAAGAACAGATAAGATATTGGTATATAAATATTTTTTTTTGTTGAAATATTATTTCATAGATGTTATCTCAGAAGCGCTGAGTGTATAGAAAAAAATAATATATCAGAGCATTGGATTCGATTCTATCTGTTTATTTCTTGTTCCTATTCTCCTTAGCCAACACAGCTGCTATTTTTGGCGTTGACTATTGCTACACTAGAAAAAATTGTTTTCGTTGGAGGTTTATTCGTTCACTAAAAAAATAGTATTTTGTTATAAATATTTTATTATAAAAATGGAGAAAAACAACAACTCTTCTAGTTATTCCAAAATGTTAAGATCGAACTTAAAAAACAAGGAAAATTTGAACAGTAAAGAGAGAAGAACTTTCTCTCTTCAACGACGACGGTCAATTTTATCAATCTTATCGTCTTCAAGTTCTATTCAGAAACCTGAACGTGGTCGTTCTCAAAATCGAATTATTACAAATAATGACATTGATATAAACAAAGTGATTACTGCTTGTAGAAATGATAATGGCACTATGGATGTAGATATACAACAAAATAATTTATCTTCTAAACAACCACAATCATCAATAAGTCCTGATCATTTATCACACCAAAATGATATTGAAGATTATATTGAACGAAGTGATAATGAAAGCTCAGGAGGAAATCGAAGCTTGTCTACAACATCTCGTGATAATGTGTGGGCTTTTTTTACACATGTTGCTGATGATACTTATCAATGTCGTCTTTGCTCAAATGTATGTTTTTTTATTTAAATGCTTGATTGTTTTTTATCAGATGAAAACTTCCTAATAAAGAAGGACAGAAAAACAACATTAATTTTGATTTTGACAGACTGAAAAGTGTCTTTTACATATCAAGAAAATATTTGCATAGCTTCTCAAATAAAAAAATATGTCACTTCCTGATTTACTGTGTTTAAATATCTCTTTTAATAGTATTTTTTATTCATTTAGACATATAAAGCATATAACCGTGTTGATGCAAATTTAAGAAAACATATTGGTAAAACTCATAAAATGGAACAATATTTATTTGAATCTCAAAAAAGTAACAATTAAGTGAAGAAACAATCTATATCGCCGGAACAAAAAAGAATTACACAACACTGCCATCGAATGCATTATAAAGGATGGACGCTCTTTCGGCGATTTTCGTCGAGAGAGAATGAAGAAATTTCCTTCGGTAGCAATTCCAGGCTACGTTGGGCCCCACAGAAAAACAGTTGCTAGACGTTTACGTCTGTTATATAATAAATATCGAAAAGAATTAAAATGTATACTGATGGAATTAAATGATATTTCGCTAACAACTGATATTTGGCAAAATTCCCGCCAATCATATTTCATTGTTTTAACTGCTCATTTTTATGAAAAAGATTATAAATATACCTCACTCGTTATTGGTTTTCGACAATTTATGGGTCCGCATGATGCTGTTCAAATTATAAGATACATTAATTATGAAATCGATCGATTGGAAATTCGATACAAGCTTCGATCTATAACAACTGATAATGGAGTAAATATCAAAAGTGCTACTCAAAATAATGATTTTGGTGTTCGAATTGGATGTTATTGTTATAATATCAATTTGATAATTTCTCAAGGCTTAGATTTATGGAAAAAAATCTGTATTAAGAAAGTCAGTATCAACTTTTCTTATTGTATTTCGTGTGTGTTCTATTATATTTCAATTTTTTTCTTCGAGAATGTGGTTGAATGAAACAACATCACCCTGATGAAGAAGAAGAACCAATGATCTACTCAGAAGAGATTCAGATTACTGAAGGTATGACTGAATCGGATACACGAAATACACATGTCTTATTAGAGAAAGATGCAACATCAGAAGAAGAATCAATTATTGAAGATTCTAGTGATGAAGAAAACTTTAGTAGTGAAGAACAGGAACAACAACAAGCTCAGGAAAAATTAAATGATATTGTTGATGAACAAATATTTAAAGATACAATTACAAATGATACTCCTCCTGGTAAAATAATATTTGGTATACATTTGTTATTATGTTGTATTCGTTGTTTAATCGTTTTAATTCGGAAATGTTATTTAATTAATGAATATGTTCGTAGACAAGCAAAAGCTGATAAAACTATACAAAGTGGTGAACTTGTAGTTGATTTCCATATTAGATGGAATACAATTTGTGTTATGTTAACAAAATTCATCGAACATCGTCGTATAATTGCTGATATTACCAATACTCCAGATAAAACTACGAATCTAAAAAGATCCAAATGTGATCGTCTAATGTCATTAACATTACGTCCTCAACATTGGGAATGAATAATTACTTTGAAAAAATACTTGATCCATTTCACAGTGCTACACATGCCTTATCTGCCCGTAATTATGCAACGATTGCTCCCGCGAAAGTAATTGTTTTCACATTGAAAAATTTTTTATCAACTCGAAATATATATCATCATTTGAAAAATATTTTAAAAGGCAACTCTTAAAAAAATATAAATTGTATTTCGAAGTCAAAGTCACAGAAGAACAAAGTCCTTTAGCATTAGTATATTGAATCTTGCGCTTTTTATTTGATTTAATTATTTGTCTCACTATTTCAGGTTGCTGCCTTTTTATGTCTATATGCAAAACAATATTTGACTGTATCTGATTTGAAAAAAGCTGAAACTATACGTATTCAAGAATATAATGAAATTCTTCGATCGGAAAAACTTATATCATCAGCAACAACAAATAATATTGCAGTCTCGTCTAGTAATGCTCAACAATCCATGGAATCATCTGAAGGTCATATGGAAAAATCAATCGATTATTTATTAAAAATTTGCTTAGTAGAAAAACCACCAGTTCATAAAACCACCAACAAAAGAATTGTATGGACCATACAGCAAGAATTAGGTTATTATGCGATGACAGGAACTCCAAAACGAAATTTTCAATCGTACTGGAACTTGAATCAAGATAAAATGCCTATATTAGCTTCATTGGTTCGTCGATTTTGCTTATCACCTGCAACAAGCGTCGCCAGTGAATCATCATTTAGCTGTGATAATTATATACAGAGGAAACAACGATCTTCTCTATCGTCCACTAATCTTTGCTATACAATGGTATTACGAGATGCTGGTGTGGTTAGAAGATTAAGTCAAATATATTAAACATTTTTTTTATTTAGCAAAAAGGATGAAAGTTTTTCAGATATGTAGCTCGTCAGACTTCTTGATATACACATTTTTAAAGCTACATTTTTATTATTCTTTATTTTAAGAAAAGATATTGAAATAAACTTTGGATGCTTGTTTATCAAAAACATGAATTTCATTTATTTTAATTAGCGAATCAAAAAGAAAATGCATACAATATAGTTTTTGCATAACAGCTGGTTTAGGTTAACAAAAGGTCTTACACTATAGGGATCGACTAAAATAAAGCATGTGTCCTTTGTTATTTAATGATTCAACTTATACGACAGACTTACATATTTTTTAAATTCAAAAACTATAATCCTAGTACGCACTAACATGGTCCAAGATTATTAATAATGGTAATTGTATAAATTATGAAAGAAAAGCACGAGTGTTTTCTTCATTTAAATTAATAAGATCTCATTACTAGGTTAAGTTAACTTTCTACGCCTTGATGAAGTATTATTTTAATCAAACTTGTTCTGCATAATCCAAAAACTATACTTCTTCCGTCAATAATGAATAAATATTTAGATCAATTTATGTGGAAAAATGAAATCTAACGATGTCATAATGCTTTAATGAGGAAGTGAAAATCTAATCGATGATGAGAAATAATTCTACTATCCTATTTATTATTACTTATTACTTCCTGATTACTTTATTACTTTTTTGTATAGTTATTACTATTACTGGTAACTAGTAATAACAGTTATTACTTTTATTACATTATTACCAATATTTCTTTAATACTTTTATTACTTTTCAAAATTATTACTTATTACTAGTTATAGTAAAGTGTCACCCCTAGTGGAAATAGTCCAAGAAAGTTTGCTACTTTTCTTACGCCACTATAAATGTTAGCATGATTTCTTTTAGATCTCTATCGAACAGTATTTTTATTTATATAGATTACTAAACATTAGCTACAGCTCAAAATATACTCTTCACTAGATTTGATCTTGAAAATTCTTTCAATTATCAGCATGATTATTAAAATAGACAATTCTTGAAGTTCAAATGTTTATAGCAATGGACTTTACGACAAGTGATTGTAAAAAGATGGAGAGACAAAAAGACATCCGAATTCAAACATGAGTAGTTGTCCAGGATAAACTACTGTCATACACAATTTATTGAAAATACTAAGTTCTACGTTGTCTGCTAAACGAGAAAATAAGTTCGTCAAGACTTCAGCCTATTTTTGAAAAATAATGTACGTGTTTGTTTCCTGTTGCCATCACATTCCATTATTGTATGACAAGAGTTCATAAATTCCGAAATGATCTATACTGCTACGATATAACATTAAAGAAACTTTTCCCAGTCAGACAAACACTAAACAAACGCGTTAAAATGTTGCAAAATTTTAACGCTTTTTTTTGGTGTTTGTCTTACTGGGAAGTTGTCAGATTTTTCAAATATTTCCTTTCACGAGGTCTTATAGCACCATGAGGTTTTAGAAAAATCAAATTTTCGAATTTTGGCCCGAACCTTTTCATATATAAAGATTTTAATTAGACAAGCTTCCATAAAAATTAAGAAGTTTTCAACGAAGTCTCTCAGAGATATGGAATTTTTTAAGACAGCGTCCACAAGGGCATCAAATATCCGAGGCACTCGATAAAAATGCTTTTTTCGATTTTTTTTGCTCATTCAAAACTTCAATGTCTAAGACTACTAACCCTAAAATTTTAGGTTCTAAGACCCTTCCGATGAAAAGTTAGTCAATACCGACTTTTAGCACTATCATACCTTTTTGAGGAAAAACAAGAAAAAATATCCTATAAAAGATGTACCAGCTTACGTTTCAACAGATTGTTGAAAATTTTCATGGTACACATAAGGAGATAGATAATTAAAAGCTGATCAAAATAAGCTATTTTGATTTAATATAATCTCTAACAATTCTAGTTTTATAACGCTAATATGAGTCAAAAGTGGTCATTTTGATTAGTTCAAATAAAACAGTGTATCTCCTGCTGTGTTGCAGCTTTAAGAGATCCCAGACTGAATTTTATATATGTTGTGCAACTTTTTATTCTCTACAAAATGGTCGAAAAATATTTGAAAAAAAAAAGTTCCTCTTTGATGCAAAAAAGGGCTTATACCTTCGAATTTTTCATGGTTTTTGTGATTTTTCAGTAGAATATAAACATTTTTAGCGGTTTGCATTGATATGATCTAATGATAAATCAAAATAAATACAATACTCGGAATCAGCATGAAAAACTGCATCTATCCATATATGTTTTAGCGAAAAATTTTTCTTGGCCAAAATTGACCTGTGGGGGACCAGGGAGAAAAATTTCTCTTAAATATAGTCGTAGGGGAGCATAGGCTAGTTTTCGACAGGAAAAACTTTTTGCTGAAAAGTATATGATTAGATACAGTTTTTGACGCTGATTCCGAATATCGTATTTATTTTGCTTTAACATTTTGTTACAGCAATGAAAATTGCTAAAAATATTCGTTTTCTGTTGAAAAATCATCAAAACTTAGGAGGTGTAAGCCTCGTTTTGCACTGAGCATACCATTTTTTTTAAATATTTTTTTACCATTCTGTAGAGAATAAAAAGCTGCACAACATATGTAAAGTTCAGTCTGGGATCTCATGATTCTGAAACACAGCATGAGGTATACTTTTTTATATAAACTAATGAAAATGACCCTCTTTGACTCATGTTGGCTTTGTAAAGCTTGGACTGTTAGACACAAGTAACGCTCTTTCGTGTGACTCGCTGGATCCTCGACTGTATATTCGGCCCTTTGGTATTTTATACTGTTTTACAGTATTCAAAACAGCTCGTATCCAACGTGTCAAAAGAATGGATGGATGTGTGTGTTCATATTAGCGTCAATCTTGTTGTGCATAATGGTATGGGGGTCCGGATGAACATTTTTGCCACAAATACATCTAATCAAATCGATATCCCCATATTTATATGCAACAATAGTCTAAGGAACTACATTATGGCGGCGATATCCACATGCACTCAAAAAACAGATTATATTCAATTTTCTGAGAGGTCACGAAGCAAAACGCATCCACGACACTATTGTGAAACAGCGCCATACTGCTTGAAATTTCTACTAGAAAACTGTTGGCTCACCAAAACATCGGCCGACAATATTTTTTACTGGGGTATGCGCTACAAAAATACGGGTTCAATTGAACTCCTAGCTTAAAATTAATCATACTAGATCTAGTCTTCAATCGAACTGCCATACTTGAAAGAAGCTCCTGCTCAAAGTAACCGTCAGATTAGATAGGTAATTTGAATACATCTGTATACATTTCGACATTTGAATGAATACAGACAAGAACACATACCAGCAGAAGAATTCCCGTTTATTTCATTTATATCTACTTCTGATATCATGAATATAAAATCTGTGACTGATGTTTACCGCCAAATGTAGTATTAAAATATTGTGCACGTGCATAAAAAGCGTTGTCACCCTTTATTTCAACATATTTATCAGTTCTTACCAACTGCTAGTCCTTATTCAAACCCATTAGGTCTAGACTGTTGATTTTTGTTTGATGAATACAAACAATCTGAAGTGTGTCTTGAAGAGATTTTTTAGTGCACCGGCTAGTCGTTCGTCGGAAACCCTTCGAGACACTACCCATGGCTAGTCACTGTTATGTTTCATTCTATTTCTCCATAACGCCGTCCTTTTTTTATTTAAACTTCACCTAATCTCAAATTCGGCTTAATTTGACAAACTATTTGATCCGTAGTACGAGAATTCTCGATGACAATTTCTAAACCAAAGCATCATTGTGAACTATTTCTGATTTCTTCAATTTCATTCTGTAACTGGACATCAGAGTTTTATTGAAATTTCTCATTAAGGAAATATTAGTGAGCATTCTCAAAAAAATCAAGCTTTTAAACTTATTTTTCATGAGCGAAATCTGCAGAATGGTTACAATATGAACCATTAGTCGTTCGTTTTACATAAGTGCACTTATGGAAACAGTTTGTTTATTGTTATTTAACATAAAAGATATGACATCATTTTTATACGTCAAATTTTTATTACTTTCTTCGAGCTATCGCAACTGGAAATTTCACAAGTTGGAGATCCTCCAAACATACACAAGGTTAAAAAATTGGTTTTTTATAATAATAATAATAAAAAACAATTTATTGACATATCCCAGTTTAAGACCCTGCCCCATCTGTGTATAGATTTCCTCAGAACATAGATATAACCATATGAAAGAAGTGGGAGAAATACGCTTTCAACATCAGTTCTGTTGGAAAACTGTTAGAGTATCTAGCTGATTTTTATCCATTTCCTCTATCGTTTCAAAAGATAGTGTTGTCTCTCTTTGAACATACATGACTTTTATTATGCTTTTAAAAACTGCCGAGATACGAAGATTTGACATGGGAAGCACCTCTTAGTGGAATCACAATAGTATCTTTATAACAAATACGTAAGGCTTCAAGGCGCGAATCACTTCGATCGTTTAGAATTGTGAAGAGTATTATTGAGGTGTTGCTAATCTGCTTGTCTTCGCAATTTTTCAAGGCATTCTAATAGTTACCTATGCACAACAAATAGCTCTAATGTCTCTTCGAATCATGGAGCACCGGTTCAAATCACCAAGGTTTTCTTATAACTATCGAATAATCAGAACAGATTTCAGTAGCATATTAATTGCTATCCTTTTCATTAAATTCATGAATAGCCGCAAACGGTCTGTGTTAACGAGAAAAAAGTCACTAACTTCATGACTATTTTCATAATATTGGCAAAATTTGCCAATATTCACTTTCATTTTCTTCTTTTCATACGTTTAGACACAATCTAAAGCTCACATAAACCATGCTTAATTACTGGTATCATTTAAGGATAGAAAAATCTTCTGAACACTGATAGACTAAAAGGGCTTACGAGAGGTACTGCCATATCAAAAGACTTACGTCTGCTTGTCGTATTAATGCGATGTATAT